AGAGAAAAGTAGTTTCACCAGAAGATCAAGTTACGATATTTTAAGTAAAAATTATGAGCTGAAAAAAGAAAGAAAGAAAGGAAAAGAAACATGCATGGAACACAATGTCATGCAAGATCAATGCATGCGTTCAGAAATAATTTAATGGCATGATTAGCCTAACTACAGCCATGATAATCAATGTTATACAATTCAAAATACAACACATATACAATTTGTATATCAATGTTATACAAATCAAATACAATACAATTCTGGAGTCACATGAGGGTGACTAGATGATAGACTTTTCATTTTCGCGTGCACTGTCCGTTCTCGTGCGTTTTAAAACGTTCTTCGGTGTTAATGTTGATGTTCAGTGCTGATCTATGATGATGTACAAAGTTATTTAAAAAAAAATGTACGCAGCATTCCAAAATAAAAAGGCGATAGAAAGCGAACTACTAAAGCGGGCGGGAGGGAGAGAGAGTGCAGTGGGCGGAGTTGTGTCATTCTCTAAGCGGGGGTGGACTGCAGACAGAGCCGGAGGGAGGGAGCGAGGGGAGCAGCTTGAGACTCCAGAGATCTGTGACGGGCTGTGTATGTGTATGTGTGTGCGCGCTGCGCTGGATGAGGACAATTCACACAGGATAGCTCTGCGTACTATACTTGAAAACATTTGACCCTTTCTTGCTGGACTTGGGCTGCGTTCTGATGCCGCTACCGGACGATGAGAGAGGCCCTCACCATGAAATTCGCTTGGAAAGCTAAAATGGTAAGAAGTTGCGGTTCGTTTGCCCCCCTGCGCACTGTTGATTTTGCGGCTTTGAGCTTCTAGAGAGAAAGACGGGAGCGGGAGGGGGAAACGAGAGCTTGGAGTGGAGGATAAAGAAGTTTGACAGGGGAGGGGGTCGTGGTGGGGAATATAAATAATGTTGTTAAATTACATTTTACTGCAGTAACCTATCGCACCCCTCTGTTTATGATCCACACGCTGATTTGGATCTGAAAGTCTTCACGTAGGCGGCGGTTCCCGTTAGTTTCTCACTCTAGAAATGCTTCTACTTTTATGATGAACAGCCTCCAGGCTGCAGACAAAAACAAAGCGGACAGATGGGCTTAAACCCACTTGTTATTGTTGTTATCGGTGAGGGATTGTTTCTCATGGACTTTGGGGTTGTGTTGTTTTTGTGTGCAGGCTGTAGGGGGTAGAAAACGTCTCTGTTTGGGATGATAACATGGTCAGCATCCTTTCATTGTATATAGGATTTAAAGGACCTAAACAGAGTCCTCAACTGTCCCACAGCTTTTAAAGTCCATTCGTTCTAATGCTTTTTCAGGGCTTTCATTACTGTTAAAAATATAGTGTTTAAGTTATCTGACCATATAAATTCTCATAGTCAATTTGAATTGACAAAGCACTAAACGTACTAAGAACTTAAGTACTTATTTTCATGGTTTTTATCAGATATTTATTACATTTACATATCAGATAGATGCTTTAGATATGCATTCAAAGTATTTTTCATTGCTTTTGCAATCTCTAGGAGTAGAACCCATGGAATTGGAATTGCTCTTTTTTTATTATTATTATTATTATTAATAATAATAATCATAATAATCATAATAACAGTTTAGCATCAGCAAAAATGAAAATAAAAGCAATAAATATTAATCAAATTAAGTAATAAATAAAATAATAAGAAAAAGCCAGTGATAAAAAATAATAACAGTTTATAATACAATAGAATTAAACTGAATAAATGAAAGCTAATATAATTCAAGCTAATAAACTTAACCTCAAAGAGCTCCCATCTAATCTGATTCTGATCGCATGTGGCCACTGTACTAGTACTCCACTTTTTTTTATTTCAGAGACAAACTATTTTGTTTCCTCATGTGTAGCCCCACCCTCAGGCTTTTACTTAACCTCAAAGAGCTCCCATCTAATCTGATTCTGATCGCATGTGGCCACTGTACTAGTACTCCACTTTTTTTTAATTTCAGAGACAAACTATTTTGTTTCCTCATGTGTAGCCCCACCCTCAGGCTTTTAAAGCCGCTTTGGAAAACATAAATCTGATTCTGATCGCATGTGGCCACTGTACTAGTACTCCACTTTTTTTTATTTCAGAGACAAACTATTTTGTTTCCTCATGTGTAGCCCCACCCTCAGGCTTTTAAAGCCGCTTTGGAAAACATTTCTTCCAGTACTAAGGGGCAGCACAGTGCGCAGACTGTGGACTCGACAGGGTCCGGGCAGTGGGTGAGCAGACCTCCTACCATTGTTTTTGAGTGTGGACTGCATGACTCATCCAGCTGAGTATTTCTCTGAACGCACTGTACAGGAAACGGCCCGGGAAATACAGACAGACTGATCCACTTCATTCCAGGGACAGTTACTCTTTCAGGCGCATAAAACTGCAGACGTATAGTCTGGATGTGCTGCAATAGTGAAAAAGCTCAGTAGGGAGATGTTTGTAATGTCAGGGTTAATGACTTTGAAAGTAATGTACATAGGCTATATCTGTTAAAACTATTACACATTGTAGAAATACACACACCAATAAAACTAAATTTTATTTTTATTTTTTTGAGGTTCAGAAATAGGTTTTGGTACTCAAGAGAGCTGGATACACTTGTTGGACCTATTTAGCATGGCTTTGGATGAATTCACATAGTAACTTCTGGAATCTTTTTGGAAAACGTCTGGTGACATCGTTAGTGAAACAGCAATATTTCACGAATGCCTTTTGGTGCATTTTTTTTAGTGTGCATGAAGGCAACAGTTTATTAAACATCTAAACATCTGTATTTATTTAAAGTCTTCCCACAGTCTCTTGAGTATGCACTGCAAAAATAAGTAAATAACCACATTTTTTAAAATGAAACCATCTTAATGTCTTATGAAATAGCATAAAAAGGTTAACAATAGTTTTTCAGTCTTCATATGTCTTAAATATAAGTATTTAAAAAAATTTTTTTATTAAGATTAATTTTCTTGTTTTTTTGCACTCTAAGGAGACTTGTCTTTAAAGGGGACCTATTATGCTCCTTTTTTATGTCTTAAATATAAGTATTTAAAAAAATTTTTTTATTAAGATTCATTTTCTTGTTTTTTTGCACTCTAAGGAGACTTGTCTTTAAAGGGGACCTATTATGCTCCTTTTTAAAATATGTAAAATAAGTCTCTGATGTCCCCAGAGTGTGTATGTGAAGTTTTAGCTCAAAACACCCCACAGATAATTTTTTATAGCTTGTTAAAATTGCCACTTTTAAGGTATGAGCCAAAACACGCTGTTTTTGTGTGTGTCCCTTTAAATGCAAATGAGCGAGCTGGTGCTTTCAGAAGAAGGCAGAGCTTCAAGAGCTCAAGGTTAGCATACAAATAAACGTTCCACTATTAGTACAAGCCTGTAATCTTTACAGAAAACGTACTCGGTTTAAAAGTCAGTCATCTGATTGTACTGTGCATGATAAATGATCATTTATGAATTACACAGACGAGGAGCATGGCGCGATTTAAAATAACAACAGCTGGTCTCATTGTGCCTTAGCTACTATCGCAAACTAAAAGTCCCACAAGTGGTCGAATTCACATTGCTTTCATATGCAATTTTGAACTACCACGTTTCTATTTACGATCGTTCTGGTAGCACGTGAAGGCAGCACCAGTGAAAACAGGCATAGCTTTAGCAACATTAGCCTTTACAGAGTGCCAAGAAGCTCTTTCAGAAAGGCAATTTGGAAAACAAACGCGTGATACTTACTTTGTCTGGAGCTGACGTTCACACACAAAGCGTTGGTATTGATCGCTAAACATATAGGGGACTTGACCGATTTTTTTCTGGGATATTTCCTTCGAAAATGACATTTAACCAGTGTCCTCAGCAGCTCAGATGGAGGGAGTTTATGGAGACTTTTATGTTCGTTGGTGCATCCTAAAACACAACATTTGTAATGCCTCTTTAGCGCTGATATTTTATATCTCCAGCAGCTAGCGCTACATCAAGAAAACAGTAATGTTGCACTGCTGCTTGTCACTCAGGGCTGTGTCTATGCTAATAGGGCAGAGAGCATCACAAATTGGCAGAACTTTTTCCCTATATGGTGAAAAAAATGAGTGGGTGGATCTGTACCATTATAGGGTGGTTGTCTACACACACTGTGGCCACACTACTGTTCAAACACCTTATAAAAGTGATTTTTGCATAATATATAAAATAGGTCTCCTTTAAAGCTGGCATTTTCTAAATGTTATTTCTTTTTATTTAACCTCATAATTTTTTTTATTAAATCTTTTCAATCAAATGCAAGTTCGCATTTAGATCTGCTGTCATCCTAATCCCTGACCCCCTTTTTTCTTTTCAGTAATCTATTTCACTCATATACGTCACAGTGCAGAAGAAAAGATCTTCCACTACTTCCATTTCATCATGACTTTAATGGCGGTTATAGACAAATTTATTTTGGGTATGAAAGACTGTGCAGGATTTCGTATATCACAGCTCTACTTTAGTATTATTGACTAAAGTAGGCAGAATTTATCGATATTCTCTGTCTGACAGTTTAATATGATAGTTAAGCTGTGCACAGCCTAAAAGGCTCCACTCACCCAGACACTTAATGTTGGTCATCCCATTATACTGTTTGCATTTGTGTGTTTGACTGAGAAAGCCTATGTGTGTGTATGTATATGTTTACAGTCAGACTAAGTTTGGTTCTTAAACCCCAAAGCTGGATGGAGAAATCCTTCACTGTTAAGAATCTGTAAAAGCTCTCAGGCTGATTTTTAAAACGCCATGCCAACTCTGATCTAATTTCTATTCTCTCCCCCTCTTTCTGTCTCCTTCCTCCAAATGAGTTATCATTTTCTCTCCTCCACTCACCCCCTGTCAGTCTTTTGATACTAAAATTTAAAGCCAGAGTTCCTGTTTATGCCGAACTGAGACATGTTGTTCCCCAGTTTTATGCCATGACATTCCAAATGGAGTAACATTGATTGTTTTCTCCCTCTGCAGAGCTCTGTGCAGGACTGGGGAGAGGAGGTCGAGGAAGGAGCCATATACAACGTGACGCTGAAGAGGGTCCAAATCCAGCAGGCGGCTAACAAAGGCGCAAGATGGCTGGGGGTGAGAGGAGGCCTTTGATCTGAATGCACTTCCACTCTTTATTTAAAGAAACACTTCGGCTGCCCATGCTGGGCCGGCCAGACATTAGGGCATATTAAGCATATTGACCTTGTAAAGCTTTTTATGGTTTACGGACGTATTTAGTTGTGGGGTTCCTATAGTGTTCTGGTCATTAGTCTTCATGGATGGTCGCAAGAAAACACATAAAACTTTCTATAGAGTTGTTTGTTTGGTAAAAGTAAAAGCCAAAAATGGAAGTTCTGTCACCATTTATTCACATTAATGTCATTCCAAACCTGTATGACTTACTTTATTATACACAAAAGATGATTTTTTTTTTTAATGTCTCAATCGTGTTGTTTTGAACCCCAGTGGCTTTTATTATATGGAGAAAAACACTCTTCAAATTACCTTCTTTATGTTTTCCTTAATGTTATCACTACTTGTGTGTTTTAGTGACAGGAAAACATTCAACTCTGTTCTCTGTTGCACATTTTGAACCTAAAATTTGCTGCATGAATTTCAAGGTTTATACAACATTGTTATTTTATGAAGGCATGCTGTATATGGCTCCGTTCCGAATTACAGTGGTGAATATGGTATAATCTGTTGCTTTAACCTTGAATAATGTTTTCCATATTGTCAACACCCTTCTGAATCAACATTAAAAAAAACAAAGCACTTATGAGCTGATTTGATTTCCATAGGGCTTTAGTTTGTTGTAACACAGCTGTTTCTACACTAAATGGGTGTCGAGTGAAAACACAGTTAATTTAATGTAGAATCATTTCATAAGTGTGACATTCATGATTTCAAAAGCAAGTTCGCTTTACAGTAATCATGCTACAAAAATGTAAACAGAAATTTGTTTTAACATCGCAGTTAAAAGAAAGCCACATGTCTTACTTTTTGACACCAGTTAGAGCCCTGTTTCAGAGAGGTCATGGTGCTTAATGTTTGACCTAGTTTTAGGGACCTCAACTCAATCACTTTATTTTTTCATCAAGAAGATTTAGTATTCTTGCTGTTTCAGTGACATTCACCTTTTTGTGGCCTACTTTTAAGTCACTTTTTTTGTGTGAACCATATTTTCTTCAACTAATGAAGCATTTTTAAGAAGTCTGCCGACTTTCCAGCGCTTCTCAGAGAGGGAGGAGGAGGGTTGCTCTGATTAAAAGCAGATTGTAGAGTTTCCTGTTGTAGCGTGCTTGCATTACCAAGGTCTTGTTCTTTTTCTTCCCCTGTTTATTTCTGCTTTTCTCTCTGTTTCTCTACATAATACTTGAGTGCATGCTTTAGAATTGACCTCAAAGTATTTTCCTCTCCTTCTCCTTTGCTCTCTCAGGCAGAGGGTGACCGCTTGCCCCCAGGTCACACAGTCAGCCAGTTGGAGACGTGTAAGATCAGAAGTATCCGGGCGGGGACACTGGAACGTTTGGTAGAGACACTCCTCACAGCGTTCGGTGATAATGACCTGACCTACACCAGCATCTTCCTCTCCACATACAGGGCATTTGCTACTACACAGAATGTACTGGAGTTGCTGCTGGACAGGTGTGTACTCTTGTGTGCTTGTTTTTGATTGCACACATCATAAATGTCAGGTGAAACCTGTGTGCATTCTGATGGGCTGTTTTGAATGTTCATGTTTGCATGTATGCTTAGTGAAGAGAGGTCACATTTTGTGGTCACGCAGCTAAGCAAGTACAAATGCCCATCTGGTATTCAAGGTATTAATGTAAACACAGTCGGTTAAGTTGCGTTAATGTAAACAGGTTAAACAAAAAATTGGATGTGTGTCAAAATATTAGATCTACGGGGAACACACGGTACCAGGTAATTTTTTAAAGTCTGATTTCCAGGCCTGGAAAATTAATGGAAATGAATAAAAGGTCATGGAAGTGTCTATGGTCAATATAATTGTTTTCTAGTTATGTTCACTTAAGTATTTCTTTCACTAGATATTGCTTTTTGTAAAGGCAATCGTTAGAAACTGCCTTTTAAAAATCATGGGAAAATCATGGTAATTTATTTATCTGAAAATGTGGGAACCCTGGATCTGTGCAATATACTTCCCAGTTTAAATGCATCAAAGTATTATTTTATTACAAAAAATTATGATGTTTTATGTTTTATATTGTTTGTTTTTCATTATTATTTTGTTGTTTTAAAATAAAAAATAGATTGTATTTTGGATATTTACAAATCTTTACTAATTAAAAGTGGACTACATAGGAAAGATTAAGTAATAAAAAATAGTAATTAAAAATAATATGACCACTTTATAACTTTTTTTGGGGTCCTTGTTCAGTGGTTACTGCCTTTACCATTTGTCAGAATGCTCACATGTTGGTTTCTCTCTTCGTTCTCAGGTATGGTAGTTTTGAGGATTGTGAGGGGGAGCATAACCAGTGTCGGACTGGAGAGAGCAGAGTTGCTGTGAGAACGTGAGTTCCCTCATCATCGTGGTTATCTGTGCCGTTGCATCTGCAGTGACTTCCGAGCAGCTCTCGTATTTGTTGTTTCATTTCCATGGAAACTTAAAAATAGAGGTCAAACACTGAAATTGTGTGCATGCATGCGTGTGTGTGTGAGTTTAGAAGCAATTAGAAATAAAAGGGATCTGATGAATGATGGTGCTTGGTTGCTGCATGAATCACAGCATTGCAGCTGAATTATACTATGAGAGATTCCCTCACTAGTTTGCGCCATCTGGTTTATACAAACATCTATGTGTTATTATTATTTTTTTCAGTGCTTTGGCCTCTATTCTAAGAGCCTGGTTGGATCAGTGTCCAGAGGACTTCCAGGAACCTCCATCATATCCGAGCTTGCATCGTGTGCTGGGTTTCCTGCGGAAGGCCATGCCAGGCTCAGAGCCAATGCGCCGGGCTCAAAGTCTGCTAGAACAATTGCATGTCCAGGCCAGCCTAGAGAATGAGACTCAAGGTAAGTCATATCCGGTTACTGTTAATAATTTTATCCATCCTATCTAACTTCTTGCCTATTCATGTTTGTTCTGTCTTCCTGTGCTTACAAAAACATCTGCTGTCCGTTTGTTGCAGGAGGCTTTCAGTACACCAACCCTTTCTGCATTGGGGAAGATGAGGAAGTGGAAATCGATTTGCAGGAGGACTTCTTCTCCTTCAAGGTTGACCTTGTAGCAGAGCAGCTGACTTATATGGATGCGGTGAGAGAGAGAAACCTAGATTAAATCAGTACTAAGGAACATGAAATATTATTTTGTACTTTCTTTGGCTCAAGCTATGAAATATTTCCTTCTTTCCACAGCTGTTATTTAAGAAGGTGGTTCCTCATCACTGTTTGGGTGCTATCTGGTCTCAGCGTGATAAAAAGGACGGCAAACAGAGCGCGCCCACCATCCGCGCCACCATCACTCAGTTTAATGCAGTAACGGCGTGCGTGGTCAGCACCATCCTCCGTCAGCGGCAGATACGCCCGCATTTGCGTGCTCGCATCATCCAGCGCTGGATCGACGTTGCACAGGTGCATAACGCAACACACACACATTTGCACGGTCACACCTCCCAGTATGACTTATGTTTTGCTCAAGTTTAAACCTGTCCACCTCAGGCTCATTCGAGCTAGATCAATCTGCAGCGCTTTAGTGTTGTGTGATTTTTCTAGCAATACTTTAGATAAAGATAAAGCCTGACGTTGATCTGGAATATAGTTTTTCAAAAGGCATTTACTGGTCTTGGTGCATTTGGGTAAAGACTGACACCTAATCTATTTCTTTTTTAGACAAAACTGTTTTAGATGAGATCTAGATAAACCAAAGTAGACATAATAATGACTTTCAGCCTCCCAAAGGATTTCTGATAAAGTCTCATTAGGACCATTTGTAAATGAAAATGTATAAACATTAATTAACATGTTCTCAGGAGTGTCGCATTCGTAAGAACTTCTCATCTCTGAGAGCCATAGTATCAGCGTTGCAGTCCAACCCCATCTACAGACTGAAGAGAGTGTGGGCCTCTGTTTCCAAGTAAGTTCTGTCAATAAACAAGCCTGTCAGTCATTTCTTGATTTCTAAAAATATATAGACTGGTGAAATTATTCAAATCCTTTCAATAACATTGGTTATGTTTACCTGTTATGTTATGATTCCTAATGAAGTCTCTAAATGAATGCCATTCAAAAGTTTGGGATCACTATTATTTATTTATTTATTTGAAATGTACAGTTTTATTAAGCAAGGATGCATTCCACTGATCAAAAATGACAGGAAAAACATTTAAAATCGTACAAAATATTTTTATTTTAAATAAATGCTGTTCCACAAGTTTTATGTTCTATCAAAGCATCCTAAAAAAGACGCTGCATCACAGTTTCCACACTTCATTAAGCTGCACAATAATTTTCAAGTGATAATAATAAGAAATTTTATTGAGTACCAAATCAGCATATTAAAATTATTTCTGAAGGATCATGTGACACTGGAGTAATAGCTGCTAAAAAGATCAGCTTTGCCATCAGAGGAATAAACTACATTTGAATATATCCATATGAATTTATATTAAAGGGGTCATATGATGCTTTTTTTAAAGATCATTATTTTATGTATTTGGTGTAACAATATGTTGACATGCTTTAATGTTCAAAAAACACATTATTTTTCAAATACTGTACATTATTGTAGGTCATATATGCCCCCCCTCTCTTAAACGCTTCGTTTTCTACAAAGTCCCTCCTTCCGACAAGCACAGTCTGCTCTGATTGGCCAGCTGACCCAGTGCATTGTGATTGGCCGAACACCGCAAGCACTCGTCGGAAATGTAACGCACCATAATCACGAGCTTCATTTTTCAAAATAAATGTAAATGTCCTCAAAATTTGCCAGTCTGGACAGCTGTGCCAAAGATCACCAGAAAAGATCCCACAAGAGACTTCAGTTACAGAAAGAGATGGTAAGTTTGTAAAAAAACAAAACGACAACAAAAAATTGTTAAAAAAAACTAGTGTCAGTATATACTGATAACAGAACAAGAGTTAAATATTGTGTTTAAAATGTGTCATGTTAGCTTAAAGCTAACACAAATATATCTAACCTTTTATCTCCAGGGTGCCATGCAGGGGACGATTCCATATCTGGGTACATTTCTCACAGATTTGACCATGCTTGATACAGCACTGCCTGACCAAGTGGAGGTAAGTCAAGCTGCGCATCCAACCACACATTTCCAGACAAAATGAAAGCCTCATAAAGAATTATCTCTGTTATTACTAACCTAAAATTCCCAGACTGTTGAGGTTTTCATTACCAAGGTTTATTTGACCTTCTTTTGGATTCCCAAGAACTTTAATCAAAACTTTCATGAGTAAAATGATGAGGAGAATCTGGGCTAAAGTCTATTTCTGTGCTTCACAGGGAGGACTGCTCAATTTCGAAAAGCGGCGCAGAGTAAGTACAACGTTCCTTATTATTTGGTTTTTATTATAGTCAAAACATCTGTTGAATCTCTTATTCATTACTATAGGCATTCAGATCTGTGGGAATGTTGAATAAAATCTCTCTTTGCAGGAGTTTGAAGAAAAAAAGGACAAAACACACAACAAAATTACTAAAACTTGAACTAAAATTAAAATGGAAAATAAAATAATAAATTCTGAATAAAAGAAAAAACTATAACAGTATCTCAGTGATACCAAAATAATACATCCAACCCCACTTTTCAGTTTAAGAGTTGTCTTATATTAAATGTTATTTAAAAATGCTAATTATTATTGTTATTTAGTGTAACTAATATGTGTTTCAAATCAGGCAGACATGCCTGTAAAAAACAATTAATACATTTGATTTAAAAACTGGTGTGGGGACTGGTTAAATATCATGAGATAAATTGTGATATATTTTATTCTATTGACAGCCACCGATTCTTACCAGAAAGAAATATTATAAAAGCAAAACTGCTTATAATTTTGTGGTATAGTGTTAATCTCATTCATAAGGTGTTCATCTCTCCTTCCTTGCAATGTACATAAGTTCAGAGTGCTGTAGAAATTATTTAAATTCAATACTTAATAAAAAAATCATCACCATTATTATTATTGAATTTTTAAATGTTTCTCATCAGGTTTATACATCCAACATATTATTATAATATGTTATATAATATATTAAATAAATATAAATATTATAAATAATTATATAAATATTTCCAGATTCCATTTTAGTGATTTAATTTGGCTTTAGTACAATGACAATATAACAGCCAATTATTTAAATATTTATATTTATTGTTCTCAAACAGTATAAAAATGTGCAGAAGAACAGTATACAACATTTTTCAGAGGATCATCATATTTAGAGGTTTTTGGAAAAAGCTTTAAAATCCCTGTTCTAATAGCACTAAATTAAGAGAGAGAAGACTTTCTGATGTAAAATGCATCATTGTTTCTCCACGCAGCTGACCAGCCAGGACAAAACTCCAGCTGTGATCTCTCGAGCCATGGCCAAACACAACCTGGAGGGTGAGCAGGCCGCTGACTACGAGCTGGTGCAGGTCATCTCTGAGGAGAGAGGTACGACATTAAAACTTGTGTATCTGGCACATTATGATATGTTGTTTAGGTTTGTTATGGTGGAATGCCATCGACACAATCACAATCTTTTTTCCCTCCTTCTCCAGAATTGGTCATCCCTGACAACGCAAACGTGTTTTACGCCATGAGCACATCTGCGAACTTTGACTTCCTATTGCGTCTGCGTGGTTCTGAGGGGAGGCCGGTTCAGCTGCGCAGTCGTTGCAGCTCCACACTACCGCGCACACAGCAACGCTCCAGTCTGTCCCTCAGGCTCAGCAAGGTCACACTGTGACCTCTAACCTTTTTTACACCAGAACAGGCTTTGTAAAAAGACTACAGCAGGTGGAGTACTAGACTAAATGGCCTTTATGGACGATTTCAAGGGGAGTTTATTGACTTCAGAAACATTTCAGAACTAATTTAGACATCTCATGTTCTTCCTTGCTGCCTTTTGAAATTAAAGGCTTATGTTAATAGTAGCATGTGCCTCCACCTCCCCACCTGGCCCACAAAAGACACATCCCATCCTCCCTTTTGCTGGATATTTTGCACAAGTGCAGGAAGGTCTCCTGCTCCTCATCAGTATTTGCCTAACAGCACATCTCTTCCCAGCCAAGAGGCCTACACGACTTCCTCAGAGAGAAAGAGTGGAACGAAAGAAGCTGTGGGGAGAGAAGTTAAACGACAACCATGTTGCCTTTATCAGTGGTAATGATGGAACTCTTGCGTCAGTATTGAAGATGAACTGCAGTAGCTGTGATGCCGTCATCAACGTGTCCTTCTTCTTTCCACTTGTGTGGATTGTATCCCTAGACTTAAAGTGCTTAGACTGGCTCACTAAGAATCCATAGAATTACATTTAGTTTCCATCTTTAAGTGCAAAATGGAGAAAAGAACAACCGTTTCCTTTAGATATCACAAACGGTAGGTATACGATGAAACAAGATGTATGAAGTTATTTTTTCTGCCTATTCTAAGCATTTTATCTCTGTGTATTTCTGTGTTTCTTATATTGTGAGCTGTGTGACGAATGCAGAAAATATGCATTCTGATTGGTTCCTGCTTGGTTTTATCAAGTCTGTGGTGTTTCCTTTCATGATTGGATCCATGTTGTGTCTTTAAGGTGTGGTCACACAGCACCAATAGGATGGGTTTCTATTAGGAAACCTGGATTGAGCTACCTTCCTCTATGAAAGTGCACTTGCTATAGAGTGGGCGGAGTCAATAGGTGTGTACTAAAAAGAGCACTTGGTCCACTTTTTGTAGCTTTCCTCTCTTCTGTCTTCAAGCATCACTATATTAATGATATACTTTTCTTTTTTTATACGTATGTTTTTGCAAGAGATGAAGAAGTAGCCACGATATCTATGAAAAAAGGATTTTGGAAGTTTTAAAAAGATTTTGTGAACTAAAAGAGAACATGTAAAAAGAGCTGTGAAATATGAGTGTGTGATTGTAAAGTGAGCATTAAAACAAGTCAGTCATTTCCATCAACCAGCACAATAATTCGCTCTCATTGTACCCCCGTCACCCTAGAAGATGTTCTCCAGAGCATTTTAGACATGTTACTTCTGTGCACCTGGTGAATATCACAAAAACTTGTTTTACACTAAAACAAATAGTTTTACACTGAGGCATTTTAACACCAAATAGTTTCAATAGCTCCTAAAGGCTTATGGAATTTTTGCCTTAATCCTGTTCTTTCTCTACATAATTCCCATAAATTTGTTAATCTGGTATGTAATAATCATTAGTTGGCCCTGACTCCTGGTAATATGTCAACGGATGCACTACAGAATGTGCCAAACATGCCCCTTTTTTGCCTTTTGTTCTCTCGCACTAATTAAGAAACTTATGTTTGTTACATTGAACACTTAAGACTTTGATGACACTAACAGTTTTTCAACAAGGTAAAAACGTAGTGTTTTAACAGTAGTGGGGGCTGCAGTGTTTGTATTTTGATTCATTTGTCTTAATGCAAATTTATTCAGCACTTGTGAATTTTCTCCTTTCTTTATTTTGAATATTTCTTCACTACCAAAGAATTGTACAGAGAGTCAGTGAATATATTATTATCGTTATGATGTTTTGTAATTTGAATATTACTTTTCATGAATTAAATGGAGACTCTCTGAAAGTACTGTGGATGTTGACTGAAATTGACTTTGCTTGCATCACACCTAAAATACCATAAAAAGAAAATGACAGGTATGATTCATTCATTCAAATGGTTTTGTTTTATAATTCTTCTTTTGTCTGTTTTCTGTTTCAGTGTTATTGTTACCAAAACCAAAACTATTACCAATTGGATAACAGTAAATATTGATAAAAATAGTTTTGATTTGAAATAAAGTAAATATAAATATTAGATGAGAAAACTTCATTCAAAATTCAACAAAAATTAGAAATGTTGCCTAGACACTAAGTTGAAGTATTAGAATTAAAACTAAAATGAAATTAAAGCTATATTGAAATAAAAAAAAAAGGAAAAAGTTATCTTCTTTTGTCTGTTTTCTGTTTCAGTGTTATTGTTACCAAAACCAAAACTATTACCAATTGGATAACAGTAAATATTGATAAAAAATAGTTTTGATTTGAAATAAAGTAAATATAAATATTAGATGAGAAAACTTCATTCAAAATTCAACAAAAATTAGAAATGTTGCCTAGACACTAAGTTGAAGTATTAGAATTAAAACTAAAATGAAATTAAAGCTATATTGAAATAAAAAAAAAGGAAAAAGTTCATCTGAAAATTACTGAAACTTAAAATTAAAATGAAAACTAGAAATAGAAAAAAGTTCATTTCAAATACACACAGATTACTCAAGTCAGTACTCACGGTGGATGCTTTGACAAATGTACACGTCACCACTGCATTACTCATCACCATTATCTCATGATTAGCAGAAGTGTAGAGGCAGCTTTTTTTTACAACTGGTTTCAAATCTTCATGAGATTCCATATCTTATCTTGTTTGGTTGTCAGTCATCAGAGTTATAATAAACACCATTGACATGGAGGGACAGGCCTGGATTATGGACCAAGTGCCTCAGAGGCCTATCAGAGCCTTAAAAAACTCATTCTGTGCCGCGCGAGATCTCCATAGATGTTAGGTCACATCCAATATCATACTGCTTCTTTCACCTCAGATGAACTCAAAAAGCTTCATGATAATGATAACTGGTAAACTGCCAGAATCTTTATCAGCACCCTGATAAATCTGGTTTAAAGGTCCAAAATATTGTGAGAATAAATCGCTCATTAACAGGATACACATAATATGTTATAGTATATTAGATTATATTGTGTTCTCTTTTAAGACAATTATTTACTAGCCTAGAGGCATTTTACAGTAATAATTAAAAGGGGTTTAATTTAAAAGGGGTCATATAATGCGATTTCAAGTTTTCCGTTCTCTTTGGAGTGTTACAAGCTGATTGTGCATAGATAAGATCCCTGAAGTTGCAAAGACTAAAGTCTCAAAACCAAAGAGATATGCTTTATCAAAGTTAAGACTCGCCCCCACATATCTACCTCACTATGTGGAAATATTTGCATAATGCCACCCAAATGTGCACGCAAAGAAAGAAGGCGTGGTTTCAGGAACAGCAGTTAGTGTTGAAGCAGCCATGTCAGGGAGACTCTGAGTGTTTTTAGGCGAAAGCAAAAGCACTTTATTTGGCCTTCCGAAAGTAGATGCATTTAGGAATCTTTAAGATTACTTACAACAGAACAGCAGTGCATTTTATGGACGACCGTTTCTTGAACCTAGGAGAGGAGGTAATTCTGACTTTGCTATGACAATCTGGCGCTTCTGAATCAGCTACTGTTTTGTTATTAGTTTAAGTATTTGCTATTGACTGTTCAAATG